ATATATATTTATTTATTTTTTTTACGTTTTTTTTAATTGGTTAAATTTTTATAGTAAAAAGCTGCTGTTTTTTTTACTTTCTAAGAGAGGCATGTTGTATTTTCATGAACTTTACCACAAGACTTGGTAAACTGTAAACCCTGTTACCATAATGTATAGTAAACATTTAATTCACTTTCTAATAATTTTGTAAAGTAAAATTAACCTTTCAGCCATGTTGTGTTTATGAATAGTTATAACCCAACATATTAAAGTGCAATTAACTTGAGTTGCCATAAAGCAAATTATTAACTCTTCAGTTTTCTGACAGTTTTTATTATATAGTAGTAGTAGTAGTAGTAGTAGTAGTAGCATTCAAACTGAGCTTAAAAATCACATATCAAACCGAAAAAGGTCATAACTTTGTGTACCTGTGTGTGTGTGTGTGTGTGTGTGTGTGTGTGTGTGTGAGTGGCCCTCGGGCCATCTCTCAGTGGGAGGTTTGGGGATCACTCTGTTCTGAGAGGGGATTTCATCAGTGACGAGGGTAAAGCCTTCACTAACAGACATATTTATCCCTACAACAAGCCCTACCTTCCTACTCCATACTCTCTCACATGCACACACTGCCCCACACAGCAGTAACCAGCAATTACGACAACACCATGTCATTAGAGGCTTATACAGACTCCTATTATCACACACTCACAGACAGAGAGCATTAAAGTCGACTACGAAAAACAAACAAATAAAACCACGAATAGTGCTGCATAAGAGCCTGTCTGTGTTCAGCCATGGAAAAGAATTCTCTTTTTTAGCATTTTAGCAATCAAATCAGCATGAAGCATGACTTCATAAGTCTTAATAAAATGACTAAAATGCTTTCAATTATTGTATATTATTAAGGATTTCTTTTTTTTCTTCTTTATTTTGGAGAAAATTTAAATGGCTCTGAGACTATTAGACTCGTATTGGTGGTTGAAAGCATAATCAAATTAGCCAAAATATTTATTAAGCAAACATGCAAATGCAATGCAAATATGCACGAGATGTTTAGGATGTTATAAATGATAAGCGCTCCAATTCTATAGAAATATGTAGATCTTTCCAGAGAATCCTGCAGGTGCAGATTCTGCATGGGCTGCTGAAGCTCGGTTAAGTGTTTGGATGGGGGTGAACGTTGCTGTCTGGCTCCTTCATTGACGGTTACGCCCTAGTTGTTCTTTTGTGATCTGCGGTGATGGGGGGCTACCAGTGACACATGAACTGACAGTCTGGGAAAGCATGACATCATTGATTTTGGCCCAAATATCAATGGACCATGACAAGTGAACAAAAAACTCACTTTTATTAGGAGCTACGGCTATTGACCATCATCCAAAAAAAAGAAGAAAAAAAAAACATGCCTCCTTCAATGTAAGTTTGTGGAAATTTTTTTTCAGATGGGTTAGAAAAGTAATAGCACTCCTCTCCTCAACAAGCTTTTTGGGCAACGCTCCAACATGTACACTGAAAAAAATTACTTTGAAGCAATTTTCACTCAGAAATTGCTAGTAATTTTCACAAATAATTACAAAGAAACAGCAAGGAACACATTGAATTAAACTTGGTAGATTGACTGAAATAGTATTTTCTTGTAAAAGGTACTCCAGTGATCTTTGTTTTATATATAACTTTGAAAAACATATTTTTTTACAGTGTAGCAACTCATTTTAGGGCAACCTAAATTCGAGTCCAAACTTTTTGTCTTTTCCTGATTCCGTCCCCTTCTCTTTTCCAATTTGCTTTCTGTCAATTCTCTATACTTTCATGTCCCAACAAAGGCAAAAATGGAAGAAAAACAAAAAAAACCAAGCTGCAAGATTTGAGGCATCACTCATGTCAGTAGCACGAAAGTTATGTGCCAATGTTTAATTGTTTTAATAATGTTCTTTTTAGCAGCATCATATGACCCCTTTACATATTTTTTGGCAATAAAGATACATGTAAATTATTATAACTGCTACCACCATATTTTGAGTTTCACTCCATAACATTAATGCCAGAAAAGTCTAATAAATAGTCTTAAATATTATACATTTGAATAATAATATAAATATTATTATCAGTGTTTGAATGTCAGTGTTTTGATTGGGAAAAAAATATATGCAATGCCACGAATTAAGAATTCTGTCCCACAACATGTTTATTCGTGGCCACGATTTGCTAATTTGTTCACTCGTTTTAGTTAAACCAACAGTGTCAGGAGGGAATAAATTAGTACAACATGGCCAAGATTTAAAACAACAAGGGAACATATTTGTAAATTGTGTTATATATTACAATATATAATTTTTTACCCAGCGTGTCATGTGTGGGGCTCCGTAGTTTTCTCTGGCATCACAAGATGAAAAAATAATTTTCATTTGTATTACATTTTGTTTTAATTTATATATTTTTGATATCATTTAATTTTTCTCTGCGTGTTATCAAAAGGTGTAGTCACATTATCATCCACGATGTATTGCCAATAATGTGAGTCACTTTCAAAGTGCATATTTCTGAACTCTTCAACTTGAACCTGTTGCGAAATCTACTTTGTTACATTTTTCACCTTTAGAAAAAATTCCCAAAATTGTTGATTCCAATTGAAATTATGGGATTTTGCCCGCAAACGTTTGCCGGAAAAGGTAAACATTTATGCACTCTAACAAAACTTTAATTTTGCACAAAACATATTAACAAAAAATGTATTTTGCATAAAGAAAAGCGTGAGATGTAAGTGATTAATTTTACACTTGTTAATTAAAACTTCTTTAGTACGTAATGCCCTATACTGAAATACAGCACGAAAAAAAAACTTTGCAAAAGCATACCGTTCAGGTTTGTTGTTGCCGCCATGGGTCGCACTGACTGGTCTACACTTATGAAATTCCCAATTGTAAATCAACTTTACTTGATTATTCAAGCGTTCCGAACTCATATTTAGCGTTTACATATTTCCGACTCCACATGAAGGTACATCAGCCTCAGAGCGGGTTTCTCCACTATAGCGGGAAATGGAAAACCCGGAGTGGAATTCGAGCGATTACAGAACGCTTTGAATGGAGCGGTAAACTCCGATCCACTCACATAGCTGCTCCAGTCCAGTTTTCACTCTGTTGCTTGGTGAGGCAACGACGCCTTAGCTTCATTTGGAGCATTTTATTAATGGAGAAAAAATATACAAACTAACTTGAGAATTTTGTCAGAGATGTAAGCTACTTGATATTAATAACTGAACTGTTTTATAAAAACAATACTGCTGTTTTATTGAATGCGAACGAATTACAGCCGTGCTGAACTGCTCTTGTGATATTGCTTACCTAAATAACGCAATCTCAAACCCTGTGTCATTGAACTATTTCAAGAATCAAGTCCTGAACAAACTGTTCCTTTAAACTTCTCTGAGTGTGTGTGCTGAATGGAGTGTCGTTTTTCAGCGCTTAACTCCTCCTCTGCATTCTGCTCGTCCAGCGCACACACACACACACACACACACACACACACATTCTGCTGCTTGCGCATTCCCCATCAGCAGCTCAACGCACAGGGAAACGGAGCCTCTTCGCGTCCGAACACACCGTCTTCAGTGTTTGTGCTTCAGCTCATCAAACATGACGGTTGTATTTCGCAATGTGGAAGAAACGAGCAGCTGATCTGGGGAGGAATCTGTGTTTTATGTGACTGAAACCCGTCTTTGGGATAGAGACTACGGAGGCGCCGCGACCGTTGTTGCAACTTTTGTTGACGGTTGCGCGTTTTAAAGAAAAAGTCGCTCAACTTTTGCGCTCGATTGTGGAATGTAGAATCGGGTGAGAATACGCCATTTCGACTTTTTTTTATTCGTGTTTGGTGAGTTTGTCAGCGGAGGACACAGCGCTTCACGTCTGGAGTTGAGTTTGCAGAGTTTGTGTGCTTTGTGTGATCGCTTCTTAAAGTAATCATGGACAAATTGGATTTAAATTCATGTGTCAAGGATTATTTCTGAAAGCTCCTGTGTGTTTTCCTGCGTTGAGTGGACTGCGCCGTTCTCGTGCACTTCAGAGTCAACACAAACTCTTGATTTTGTTACCGTTGCAAGACGCTCGTAAACATGCCACAGCTTAACGGAGGTGGAGGGGATGAGTTGGGGGCCAACGATGAATTGATCTCATTCAAAGATGAGGGCGAACAAGAGGAGAAAATCTCCGAAAACGTGTCAGCCGAAAGAGATCTGGACGACGTGAAGTCTTCTCTAGTGAACGAGTCGGAAAATAACAGCAGTTCATCCGATTCTGAGGTAAGTCAGACACCACCGCGTGTTGACAGACGCATGGATGTGGTTGTTGCCGTCGGAAAAATAACTTTTCTGTTTTGTTTTTCTCCGTTCCTCATTCTTTCCTTCAGCAAAACGAGAGGCGCCCTCAACCAAGAGCTGTTCTTGAAAGTTATGAGAAAGCCCGAGAGTATTTCACTGAAGGTACGAGCAAACTGCTGCTATGGCATGCCGAATTAGCAATTATTCATGAAAAACTAGTTTCTGTTTTTGTTACCAGTAGTATCTTTTTCAATGTCACTCATAGCTATTCATTTATATAACAGTGCTTTTTAAAAATAGTGTAACTACTCAAATAGTTAAGTATCTATTTTAGTAGCCTACTTCTAGTTACTATTTATTAGTGTGCATAACAATAGTAACATTTTTAATGCGTTTTCTAATGTAATGTATATTCGTTTTATTTAAACTATAAGGTAGCCATTTTAACTAGTAATTACATGTTACAAGTAATAAAGCAACTGAAATTTGTGAGATAACAGTTGTTAAAATGGAATAGATATTAATGTAATAAAAAAATAGGTATTAATATCCAATAAGTTCTAGTATAACTTCTGGAATAGATGCTATTATTTAGATTAAAAAAAAATCTACTATGTCATTTACACTTACTAGCAAAACTAAACTTGGTAGCAGAATCCATTAGAATATATACTAGTAGGAAGTGAACAGATGATATCTGAACCACACGTTTACATAGAATTCAAAAGGAAAATTGTGCAGTTTGATACCAGTAGCAATTAAAAATAGTTACTTGCTACTAATGGGTACTAGTGTTTAATGAATAGTTACTAGTGATATTTAAAAAAAAAAAAGTACTTACCAATATTGGATTAGAAACAAATATATATATTTAAAAAAACTACTAGAAACATATCAGTACAAGTAAAAATATCAGTAATATAAATAAATGTTGAAACAGCTTGCCATACGTGTTCTTTACTTAACTTTTGTGTCCACACATTGATCCCTAATCATTTGTCTCTCCACTGTCAAGCTTTGAGAAGACATCAAGATGGAGGGTTTTTTAAGAGCCCCCATTATCCAGGCTACCCGTTTCTAATGATCCCAGATCTGACCAATCCTTACTTGTCCAGCGGCGCCTTGTCTCCAAGCGCAAGAACGGTGAGTGCCATTGAACACACTGTGTGCCTCGGTACATCTCTGGAGTTTTTTAAGAGGCAGCGAGAAACATCATGTGAGAGTTTATAATGGCCCTCATGCAGAATGAAACCAACATGTTTCCTTATAAAGGATTCCACTTAAAAATCCGCACTTATCAACCACTATTTTGAATATTGTAAGGTCGTGTCGCCTTCAGTATCTGCAATCATGATCATTCAGCTAGATGAGAGCATAAAAAATTAAAAAAAGAGCATAAAAAAAAGAGTTTTAGTGCTTAAGATTTAGTAGTTCACCACCAGTCAGTTTTTGTAATTTGAAGTTATTTAAGGAATATGCATGTGGAAGTGGATTGCTTATGTAATTTTAGCATTAGTTCATATTTGAGGCTATTAAACTGTTTAATTGGTTTTAATTGTGTACTTCAGCTGTTTGTCTTGTATTTGACAGATTTCGATTCATTTATTTGTTGTGTAGGAGATCATGTCTAGTTATCGCCACCATTTAGTGGATCAGATTTTCCAAAATCTTGCATCTAAAGTACTTTATGGTGTTTTGGCCCCACATTTCGGTGTCTAAATACGCTGAAGATTCCTCATGTTTGTCTGTGAAATGGTTGGCTAATTGATCTAATACCCAGTGAATGTAATTCGGTGCTGTCTGCCACTGGGCTGTAATTAAGCAGTTTCAGACTGCTTGTTTAGCCTTCTTTAAAATAAGATTAGTCTGGCCGAGCGAAGAGGTCTGTCACAGTGAAATTCTATCTGGGTGTCCGAGGGCTGCAGAGTTTGCTTGTTCTCTCCCTATAGATGTGTTGGAGTTTTGTGTCCGTGTCTGGGAAAGGTTGACTGCCCTTTTAGCCCCAGCATTGGGTCTTTTCAACCCAATTTGCAAAGAACTCAGCAGGCGTTCATGTATGGCTTTGCCGCGGTGTTATGCGTCAGCGCTCTGCAGAAAAAGAGAATGAACGGTTGGGTCTTTGAAAGCCTCAACCGGGAGTGTTTTTTGGCTAAACCGTGAGCCATCTCCCCAAATCAACATGTTTTACAGCCATTGTTTATTCCAGAGCTCAAATCCTCCTTCTTTACTCTGAATTGCAATGTGATTTGATTGGACCCGGCCAAGCGTTTGAGCGAAAAGTTGCGTTTTCTCCCCCCACCTCCTCCCTCTAGACACTCGTGCAAGTTTTACTTGGCCTCTCCGTTTCTTTTCACTTGTCCGTACGAGCGCTCCCTCCTTCCCAATCTCTTCCATTTAGTTCCTGAGGCGTTAGTCTTACATTGTCATTCTGAGTGAATGCTGATGGCTTCATTGGGATCTCCATAGGCCCTCATTAGCCTAATGGCTGCTTCTTAGTTGCATAGTAGTTGTGGTACCCAGATCCTCTTTTGTTCCTCATTGTTCCTCAACACTATAGAGTGTTGTTGTGTGACGAGCCTATCGCTTAAATTATCCTGAAGGAACATCCCACCCTTAAAATCGGCTCAGGCTGTACCTGCAATGAGCGAACTTTCCTTAACGATTTTTCGCAAAAATCGTTCCATCACAGACTCAAATGGTGAATTAAGCCAATGTCAGGCACATCTCACGAGCACAGAAGCCCTCTGTTAACTCTAGCATAATGCGCATTAAGGAGCCAAAGGCTAATATGGGCTTACTAGCAAATATTCAGATGGTGTCATTCAGGATAAGGATTAGAAGTCATTTTAATTCGTTTAGCTGATTGGGGACCGTCAAAAGATTTGGTTCCCTGAGAAAATGACCCCATAACCCAATGCATCCAGATGTGAGACAAATATCCACGCAAGACTCATCCTGTTTTGAAAAAGAGGCATCTAACTCTTATTATTCCTCACAGTATTCAAATCGCAGGAGTTCATAACCTCCAGACCCCGAGCAGATTGGCGCTCGTGTTTTATCTGAAAGTTCCAGAAATCAGATCATCCCAGAGTAAGAGATATCTCCGACTGAAAAGCAGATCAGGTCTAGCCCAGTGCGGACCGAGTCAAATGGGAGGTCATTGAGGCAGATGAGCTTAGCCTGTCAATCAGCACCTCTAGAGCGAGCCGAGCGTCAGACAATGAGTGGTTGGCATACTTCAGATGTTTACACACTAATCTTAAGCTCTCGCTCAGACAGCCTCAGTCACAGCTGTCAAAATCACATAAGGAAGTTTCCAAACAAAGCGGAGGAGCCCGTCAGAATCTGAATGATCTTCTGTGTTACGCTCAAACAAATGCACAAATGTAGAGTATGTTTGCCAGGGAAAAGCATGAGTCTGTGCTGTATCCTCTTTTTTTATTATTATTCGGAATTTGACTAATTTGACAATGTCATTCTAAAAGGTATTCAACAGGTTCAATATGTTTTGTAAAGTAGAGAATCTGAGGAACTGGATTGAATATAAAAGACTTCAGAGAATGTTCTTTGTCAGAATGAAAGCCATTAAACTTCTACCATGGGATGAAAAATGAAAAACTGAGTCAGAAGAAAAGGTTTTTTTTTTTCCCCCATGGCAATTTTTCTTTTTTCTTTTACAGAAAAAAAAAAAGTCAGAAGTATTTTGGTCTCTTGCTTTTATATGGTGCACTACATATTTGTACCACTGAAAATGCAATGAAATCATTCTCAGGTTCGCTGCATAGATTAGTTTTATATTTATTTTCTTAGCAGACGCTTTTCTAACCAAACCGTCTGTTTGGTTACTACCATAAAGCGCACAAATCATATTACAGGAATCTGAGAATACACAATGCTTGCTAAGGCAGGCCTTGAATGCCAAAGTAAAGCCTGAAGCAGTCGCAAATAGAGTAAACTTGTAATCATGTCGCTTCTAAACTAATATGTACGTTTCTTGTGCTGTTGCTCTGATATCCCTGAGGTGGAATTGAAAAGCTCCTCTGAATTCATAGATTTCATGTAATATTTATAGTTGTAGGAAGGAAAGGTTTGCCAAAGGGAATGTGGAGTTTTGAATACCTGTGGCTTTAGTTAAGAAGTGCAAACAAAGACCGTTGCTTAATCCTTAGAATTTCTTAACATACTTTAGTGACAGTAACACACATATAGGCATGCACACATGTGACATTGTGATTAATGAGGTTATTGTTGTTAGGTGCTGTTGTTGTATTATATTTAGTGTATGATGTGCTTTGGGATGGAAACTGTCGCAATGATCAACTAGTCTTTTAGATGGATTTCCTTGCTTTCTATTTATTTCTATTTAAAAACTAAATATTACGAATTTTTAATAACCTAAAAAAATATTCTGATTAATATTTAATAATCTATAAACTTTAACATCAAGTTCACAATTCCATTCAGAATGCGTTTCCACCAGCTGTTTTTGAGCACAAGAACATTTCTTATGTAAACACGGTAACGGACTAGTCAATTTTGAAATGTGTAATTTTGCACGTCGCTCCTTTGGGGCATTTAAATATCAGTCTGAATGCTGTTGCATCTGTAGGTGGGTAGTGTGTGTGTGTGTGTGTGTGTGTGTGTATGAGACCTACACTGTAATTCAGATTACTAACCTTGAATGCAATTGTGAATGCTTAAGGCCTTCATCACATATTAATGAAATAAATCCGTCAAAAAAATAAATAAATTCCACCCCCACCAAAAACAAATTTTCTTTAAGTGTTTTGAGGCCTGATAGTCAGATCCACAAAATTAGCCATTGAGCAGTTCAGACCTCACACTTCTTATTTGACATTTTAAATTTCTATTCATGTAGCGGTGAGGGCAACAGTCCAGATAACTTTGGAAAAGCATTGTGAAAAAGACGGCATTAGTAAAAACGGAAAAGCAAACAGTGAAAAAGAGCTGAGAAGAGGACAGAAATAAGTGGAAGATGGAAAGAAACCGAGGTATGAAGTGACAGAAGGGAAAGATGTGGTGAAACACAGGCGTGCAGATTTCCCATAATTGATTTAGGGCCTGCTCCGAGCTGACATTCCTCAATAATCCAGTGGGACTGTTTTTAAGGATCGAGTGTGGCGGCCAACCAGCTCTACTCTTCTCAATGCTTGTCACTGAGATGAATGCTCAAGCCTGGCTCGAGGAATCGTCTGCTAGGGATGTTGGAAATGGATATGTTGAGTATATGCACAATGCTTTTGTTGGCAAAGTAAAATTTAGCCACATTGTGAGAATTAAGTACACTTTTATATGTGGCTTCCTAAAAATGTGAGGCGTTAGAAAAGTGTCAAAATCCTTCCTTATTTTACAAATTGCAAGTATGAGACAGATTGTAAACATATGAGAACTTTGGTGCTTATTTGAGCAAAATGTGTTTAAATAACATTTATCTACATTGTGAATCTTATGATTATTTAAATACACTTTCATGTGTCCATTACAGTTTCTAGTGTGGCATTAGAAAAGTTGTCAACAATTCCTTTGTTGCAAATTGCAAATATGTGACCCTGAACCACAAAACCAGTCATAAGTAGCACAGGTATATTTGTAGCAATAGCCAAAAATACATTGTATGGGTCAAAATTATCGATTTTTCTTTTATTCCAAAAATCATTAGGATATTAAGTAAAGATCATGTATGCATATATTTTGTAAATTTCCTACCGTAAATATATCAAAACGTAATTTTTGATTAGTAATATCATGCATTGCTAAGAACTTCATTTGGACAACTTTAAAGGCGATATTTTGATTTTTTTGCACCCTCAGATTCCAGATTTTCAAATAGTTGTATCTCAGCCAAATATTGTCCTATCATAACAAACCATACATCAACGGAAAGCTTATGTATTCAGCTTTCAGATAATGTATAAATCTCAATTTCAGAAAATTGACCCATATGACTAGTTTTGTGGTCCAGGGTCACATATGAGATTCTGAACACATAAGATAGATCATATTGAACTTTGGTGCTCAATTGGGCAAAATGAGTTCAAATCCAACTCGCAACACATCAAAAAGCCAAAAACAAAGTTCTGTCAGTATAGACAGTCAAAGATAATCAAAGATAAACAGTCATT